TTTCAAGTCTCTGATTCAGAGTCTGATGAAACTTCAGCTAGACCTGATGACTCTAGCAATGGAGATTCTATGACGGAGATGGCAGCCAAAACGAAAGTACTCTCTTCAGAGGTTCCTTTGCCTTCAAGGGTAACGAGGTCAAGGGCAAGAAGTTCGAGTTTGGAAATTGTTGAGCCTGAGCCCAATGCCAAATTTGAGAAGGCATCAAAAGTGACCTCTCCTCTAGAGAAAAGGTAAGAAAGTTTCACCTCTACAGAACGGCTTAGTATTGGTATCTTTAAATTTTCACCTTGAATAACCTTAATATGTTTCATATGCCAGAGAGGATAAACCAGTGGGTGATGTTGAACTTTCTCCCGTTGAGAAAAGCTTTGAAACTCTTTCCAAGAAAGCACGAAACAAGGAATCAGTTGTAGTTATTGACGGAAAGGGAAAAGATATGCCTGAAAGTCTTGAGGATGAAAAGCCAGCTGCTGACAAGTAAGTGCTACCTTGCTACTGACCTGAATATGTTGACTTCTAACTATTTAGGATTTAATAAAATGCTGCGTTGAGTTGGAAACATGAATGAACAGTTTTGTTGTTTATGATGTGAAACGTGATTATACACTTACACGGATTTATGATTGCAACTCGAAAGTCCCTGTTTTAAACTTGAATTATAATACCATGATAGGGGGACCAAATCATCAAGCGATGTATTACCATCTCAGAATGGTGACGCAACTCCATCAGAGAAAAAGAGGAAAAGGGACAGGAGAGAGGAAACTACAGATGTCAAGAAAAATATTTTCGAGTCTTTAGAGGTGAAGAAGAAACAAGCGATCGATAAGTAAGTCATACCTTACATATGAGGTTGGAATTTCAATTGAAAGTATCGTAGTCCTGCAACGAGCTTCTGCCAAAGTTCTATATTTTTCTTCTTCTTTTGGATTTGAGTGGATATTCTCTTGACTTTTATCTGGTGTTTAGGTTTTAAACTATACCTATATATTTGATTGCCGTAATGATTAATGAATAGGAACATTCTGGAAGAGGCTGATACTAAGAAGAAACCACTAGAACCAGAGATCACTTCAAATGAAGTGATCATTGAAGAGATTGAAAAAGGAAAGTTAGATGGTAAACTAGCTGTTAAAGGGAGAAAGGTGAGTGTTTTCTTACATCTTATTCTTATTTCTACATCATATGGAATCTTGATGCCCTCTCAATTCCTGCACCATTAGTGCGGGACGAGATTTCCTTAAAACGAGTGATGCTTGTTTCAGGTGAGCATACTCTATACTGCGAGGTTAAAAGACACTGGGAAATTGTTTGCATCAAATTTGGGAGAAGCTCCATTGAGATTTCGCTTAGGTAAAGACTTGATAGATATCGTAGAATCCTCATTGTTATTGTTATTTCTACCATCCGCAGACAAAGTCAGCTTTGTTTAATTTATTATTATGTATCTTGCAGATGGAAAAAAGGTTATAAAAGGTCTCAGCATTGGTGTTGAAGGTACTGTGTGTTAACCAGTTGATGATTTAATTGAAAATTCATAAGATATATCTTATAAGAATGCGGCTGCATCTGAATTCTCAGGGATGCGAGTTGGTGATAAGAGAAGACTCATAATTCCGCCATCCCTCGGGTATGTCACAAGGGTTTCAGTTGAGAATTCATCCAGCATTTTACTACTTAATTTATTCTTGCTTTGGATGTGATAAACACAGGTTCTCAGAGGAGGGATTGAAGGATGATGTCCCTAAGAATGCGTGGCTAGTCTATGAAGTGGAGGCCGTAAAAATCAGATGAGCTTTTGACCTTTTGATAGAAGCTACTTGTTTCCGTGGAAAAGATCATTCTGTTATTGTTATTCTTCTTCTTCTTTTGGGATTTGTTAGCATTTTACATAACTTTGTTCTGGAGGATATCAATTAAACACCATATCACCACTTTATACATCGGCCATATTTTGGATGGAAGAAACAAAAGAATAAGATGCATTTGGTATGGTTTTCCGTAGGTCGTGTTTTTGTCGAACATGAAATGAAACTAAAAAAGGGTTGTTCTATTAAAGCCTTAAAAAGTTAAATTTGTTAATCTTCTAACACATCAACATCACAACATACTATTGCAACTCTTTTGCATTTTAATCAAAGAGAATATATATTACGCATGGAAGAAAATAACTAGTGTCCGTAATCCTCAAAGCCTTAACAAAAGACATGATTCCTTAGATACAAACATATATTTCATCAAACTTGCCAAAGACGAGCCCAAACACCAAGCTCAAAGCAAACAAAAGCATCTAATGAGGCTTGAAGTATCTGAGCAAGGTCAAGGCAGTCAACATTCCAATCACTCATGCTTATCCTCCAATCTAACCTCACTCCTTGACAACCCATACATCTCTCAACAATCTGCTCAGACGAACGACGCCTAAGACTCTTACCTTCTGAATCCTTAACGTACTTCCTCACGTCCAGAATCTGTTTTCCCATTTCCAAATGATGTCTAGATCGTTCAAGCTTTCTTGCGTCTTGACCATTCCAAATACCAACGAAAGTTGTTCCTGGATTCGCGAGGAAACTGCGGAGGGCGTTGGGGACACGGTCGCAGTGGCACAGCTGGATGATGAGACACCGTTTACCCATGCATAACTGGAGTGTATCCGCAGGAGGGTCGTAACCCTCCCGCGGATAATAATAAAATGCCGGTGTCCACTGGACGCCGACTCCGACCACGAGGGGGTGATAAGATGGCGCGCGACGCTGGTAGAAGACGGCTTTTCTGATCCATCGCCTGATGACGGAGGGAGTCGATGTTACGGTGACGGTCAGTTCGTTTCCAAATAAATCCACCGAGTACTCTTGGTGTGTATTGTAACTTGCGATTCTTCTGATTGTTGGACCCATTATTAGAAAGACAAAATGTGTTTTTCTTGTAAATTCTTCAGGATGGTATTTTAATTTGTACTGTGTTAAGAGAATTATATATTACCGTGTGATCTTTGTGAAATGCATGCACTTTAAACTCGGACGGTTAAGATGCATGTAGGCGCAGGCCTAGCCTTTCCCATCGTAAGGAGACGTGTTCAGTTACTGCAAACCCAAATGTAGTCACTCTTTTG